CAACATCTCCCTCTTCTTCGTCAAAAGTAGGTATTATCTGATGGTCTTTTCTTTATTGATTACAGTTTATGATATACATTTTTCGAATTTTCAACGCTCGTGCCATTGGGCGTTGAAAAATGAACGACTCCCTTCATTGTTAAGATGTATTTAAATTGGAAAATGTTGACTAAATAAGGCGTTAACTTTTCTTTTTTTATTTGATGAGGATTAATTAAGTTGAACTATTCACAATAGAATAATAAACGGTATCATGTGTCAATTCTCACAAAAGAGAAGTGCGCACTGCACGTAGATGAGCATACAACTGGAGGTAAAAGGCAACAAATAGAAGACTGCAGGCATTTAAGAGACTCAGTCAACTGCCTCTATTTTGTCAAAATCATCCTCTTAAACGAGACGACCGAAATCTATAGTTTGCATGTCATCTACCTTCCTTCTGTATGATTCAGAAGAAGCTCAATGTTCTAATATGATTTGCAGTCATCATGAATCAACTATCATTGTTTTTTTTCTGCTTATTTCTTTTTCCAAGATAATACACAAAAGTTTTTATGCTTAATTAAATACAGAAGGAGATGGGTAAGTTCAGGCACAGGACCAGCAAAAAGATGATCAGTTCAAAAAGATGAATTACGGAGAGTTACATGAACGAACCCTACAAGGAATTTGAAAGTGCCGTTTGTTGATAATAGTGTATTGTAGTTGCATCGTCAGTTAGCTCAACTCGATCTAGAATGTCCGAGAGATACTTCTGTTGAGATAGCAGTACACCCCGGGGGGCTTGAGAAATTTCTAGACTAAGAAAATACCGAAGAGATCCAAGATCCTTAAATTGAATATTGAGTTATATCATCTGATGTTCGTGCATATATGCATCTGATGTCATGAATGCATTTGGTTATATCATCTGATGTTCATGCATTTATGCAGGCTGCTCATCGAAGTCCAACAGGCTCTAGAACTTGAGAGTTCCAGGCTCAGCGAAAAATGTAACTTAAGTGATCAATAGTAACGGGAGTACAAATACCATATCGATGAAGGGGGTCGAAATAAAATACCAATCTGAAAATTTAGCTGATGCAGCTGTATAGTGGATAGACATTGATTCCTATAACCATATTTGTTTTCTTCTCATCCAATCCGTACTAATTTGTATTTTGATTTGGACACATATGTGATTAGTGGATAGACATTGATAATTTCAAATAATAAAAACTTCATATATATATGTGGTTCATATTCCATCCATTAATTTGTACCCTTGAAAGTCCTTGTCACTAATAAATTAAAGGAGCAAGAAGGATGATTGAGGGGATAAATGAGGAGCCAACAAATAGATGCAACGGCAGAGAATTAAAGCAAAGAAGTCAACTTATGGGCTTTTCTTATCTTGCAAACTCTTTATGCACGATAATAATAACTAAGCCTCCATGCGTACACATATAACCTTTCTTTTTTTGGTCATCGCTACGTACCTATTTAGTTAGACAAGTCATTTTTCTTCATATGCAGCTTGAACATTATTTTTTTGGTTTTGGATCCTCCCCACCATAAAAGGAATAGTCGAGAGACCACTATCTTATAAGTAAGTACCCGTTGATTTATTTAATGAACGGTTATAATTTGTTTTCGAGTGCAACCTAGAAAATGAATGCAATTCACGGGGGTTGCGTCAAAGAAACTTGTTCGGTTCAAAAAAGGATCTTGTAGTCGACAACAAACGTTCGTACGTATCTACATGTTTGAAAGTTGGCTTTTTTACTGCACCCGTAGATTTCGTTGTGATTTGGATAAAACAGAAAGTGTCGATATCGAAATGGCAGCATGTTTATAATCCTCTTAAGCCAGTTTGGATCCAAAAAGATGAATCTAGTCTTTACTACTCAGTAGGATTATGTGTTTTACCTGAAGAACCTAATTAGCAGAAGGCTTAATACCTTTCCCTTGCTTTGCAGAATCTATTCTTGCTTTTCCCACTCAATACCCTTTGCTTGTCATTAGGACTATGCCTTACTTTTTGCCTCGCCCTAAGAATACATGAACTTCCTACATATAACCGTGCATCCCCATCTCTGTCTTCAAAAGCATCCAATTGTCAATAATCCAAGAAAACCGAGATGGGGCAAGCCATGCGGAAGCTTCAAAAACGTACGTATATACTTTTCA